GAGGCCCATTCCCATCTTCCAGAGGCCACTTGCATTCTTTGGCTCCCTTCCTTGTCTCCCAGCAATGGTGGGTAGAGTCCCTTTCCTATTTTGAATCATTCCTGCCTCTTTTTCCTTCTTTCTACCTCTCTCTTCTACTTTAAAGGATTCAACATTAAATTGAGTTCATCCAGATCATCCAAGGGAATCCTCGGTCTCCAGGTCCTTAACCTCAGTTGTATCAGCAAAGTCCCCTTTGCCATGGAAGGCAGCATGTTCGTAAGTTCTGGGCATTAGAATGTAGCCTTTTTTGAGGGGTTCATTATTCTGCCTTCTCCAGCTGGATGTGGGTTAGGGGAGAGGATAGAACCCAAATGTCTGTCTCCAGCCGCCAGGTGGATGCAGCCCGAGGGGAGAAAGATGAGTTTGGTTCTGAACATTGCTGAATTTAAGGTGCTCCTGAGAAATCAAGATGGGGCAATCTAGAAAGAAGTTAGATGCACTAACCAAAAGGCAGAGGAAAAATAGAGGCAGGAGACACAAATAAGGAAGCCTCTGACATAGAGTGAGCCCTCAGTGAATGCACAGAATGGGGGGAAACCAGGGCTAAGAACAGAATGCTGGGGCCAATAATACTTCAGGTGCGTGGGGGGACAGGTACTCATAAAAGGAAGAGTAGGATAATCTACATGGCGTCCCATCGCAGGGTCTCTGTTCCTTGTGACACATTTCTCCCTTCCTCCTCCACCTGGCCCATTTTCTCCTCAGTTCCTGGTTTTCTGCCTGCTCATATTTTCTGCTTCCTAAAATTCCAGCTTGCACACCGTGCTCTGTCCATGGCCTCTTCTGTCTGCGGCACCATCATGCATCTCTCAGCTTCAGCTCCCGTTACTAACCTGCCTCATTCTCTCAGTTTTTTCCAGTTCAAGGTGGAGAAAAACCCTTCTAAAGAGAATGGGATTGACCCAGCTTATTTGAACTCATGCTGTAGTCACCAAATTAAGTTAGGATTGGCTGTCCTGGGCCAGGTGCCCACCTTGGTCCAAATATTCTGCTCTCTATTTCAGGAACTAAAATGAACTCAGTTTGGCTGTTCAGCAAATTGTTTTGCTCCACAGAGACTTTGGGGGAAGAAGGTTAACTTTATCTCATCGCCCCTCTATCTTCACCATCACCCCTTGCTTCTAGCCTCAGATAGCCCTAATGCTATCTGTGTGCAGGGCATCTTTATAAAAATTGAATTTTGGGTCTAAAGCACAGGAATAAAACTCAGGCAGGCAAAACTCTAATATTGTCATTCTCCTTCACTGACTAATCTCTTTTATACATTTTCTGGGTATGTGAGAACTTGGTTACTCAGATTCATCGGTCTTCCAGCCACTCACCATTCTCACATCTTGTGGGCTCTCAGCATCATGCACATAAGCGAGTGATGCCTGTCTCTGAATCGCAGCTGTGCACTGACTCTCCCATCATATCGAGTATGAAGCATCTCACCTTTTAGAGAGAGACCTGGGCAGGGTTGCAGCTTGCCTCTGTAGCTTTGAGAGAAAGCAAAAAGGTACCAGTTACAACTTGGTGGTCTTCCTGGATGGCAGGAGAACTGGGATTTATATTGCCAGTGCATACAATGTACTCTAGAGCCTTTATTTTTATTTTTTTTAGCTTTCATTACATACAGATAATGATCTTTCAAAGGTCTCAATTTACTGAACCTAAGTATGATGGATGAACTCCAGGAAAGACAGGGCATCTACAAGGTCAAATGAGCTTCTCTAAAGCCAAATTCCTGTAATGCCAGGCTTTCAAGAGTTTCCTTGTGTGGGGTTCATGTGAAGCCACCAGGGACTGGGCGAGTGATGATCTGCTGCTGTTCTCCTCTGTGCTCTACTGCAGAGGTTCAGGCCAACACATAAATGGTAGCCCCTGTCCATAGTTCCTGTTGAGAAACAGACTGAACACAGGAAGGTACGGTGTTCTCTACGCTGGAGTGGATACCTGCCATCGATTTCTCCAGTGGACCCTTGCCAGGTGATTCTCTAATTGCAGCAAAGGGCTTTCCCTCCATGCTCAGCTGACCGATGTCAAGCCTACTGGGTTGTTTTAATCAAGTCTGTACAGTCTGTCTACAAGTGACTTCTTGGTCATGGTTAACTGCTTTGGGGTGAATTAAGTCTATTAGACAGTAAATTGCTTAAGTGGCTCTTCTTTGTGGAACTGGCCTCGGTGAGAACAGAATGAGCAGAAAACCTGCGAAGAGCAAGGCAAATTCAAGTCCTGGAATGGGTGGTAGAGAGGATCTAGGACAGCCTGTTCACTGAGAGATGCCACACTGAGGCCACAGAGGGGAGCTGGGAGGGCATGGATGTACAACCTCAAACACTGGCGCCGGTAAGAACATGTCAGCACAACCAGTATTGTAGCAGAAGTTATACGGTTGTACTTTTATTAATTTAAAAATGCTAGGTAAAGATGAAAGCTTATTGAATAGAATGAATGAGATAAAGAGGCAGCCTCCAGAATAACTGAAGGGCAACCTTTTACTGCTACTCCTTTTAGCTGGGTACATAGGTAATTTTCCTTTGCGTCTTTGAGTCAGATGATCGGAAGGATAATTAAATTCATGCAGAACAGGGAAATCATGTACTCCCTCTCTATTTTCCTCCCCATCTCGTCCTTGCCTCCTGCTCTCTCTATAGGCTCGAAAAGTTTCACATAGTCTAGCCCCCAAAATTACTCACATTCTTTGATCTATCAGACTTTTTTTATATTTCCGTGACTTCGTACATGCTGTTTTCTAAGCCTGAAATAGCTTCCTCCTCCTTCTTTATCTTGAAAAATCCAACCTACTCTTCAGGGTCATCTCAAGTTCATCTTCTTTATAAAGCCTTTGGGACTCTCCGCGTGGATCAATTGCCCCCCTTAGTTCTGTTCCCACATAACTTTGTGCTTCTATTATATCACTTGTCAAATTGTGTTCTGTGTTATAGGATAATACCCTGAAATATTTTTGGCTCAATTAAGATTCATTGCATATAACAGTGGATTACAGAAGATGGAAGTTTATGTCTCTCTTCTTTAAGGATGACTGGGGGAAGCAGTCTAGAGCTGGTATGGCAGCTTTGCAGTATCATCAGGAATCCAGTTTCCTATCTATATTCTTTGCTAGGCTTGGCTCATAGCTTTCATTTTCAAGTTAACCTCATGTTCAGAACAGCTGCTCAAGTTCCAGCCATCATATCCATGCTCCAGGAAGCAGAAAGGGAGAAGAAGAAATATGGCATATTTCCTTTCTTTTAAGAAGACTTTCTGAAACACCATGGAACAATTTTACTTGTGTATCATTGCCCAGAACTCAGTCACATGGCCACATCTAGCTGCAAGGAAGTCAGGAAAATGTAGTTTTGTATGGCAGCATTATACCAGAATAAAAGTTGCATTATAAGAAATGAGAAGAAAATGGATATTGAGAGGCAACTTGCAATTACATTTTCTGATACAGTTTTTATTTCTTTTTTTTCTTACCGCTCTTATTTTTTTACCTATCAAAGCTGAGCAATCTATGGCTTTAGAAAGCAGCCAGAACCCAGGTGAAAACAAAGATTGCATGTAACGGGCTTAAAATTTACAGTCATAATTCAGGTGTGCAGAAATATAACTTTCTTCATTAACTGAACTTAACTTGCCCCAAAGTGCCTATTCTCATTTATGGCTAGAAAAAAAAACAATTAAAGGTGTGGGGATGCAAAAAAAACCCCAAAAACTTTTCTCCCACCTTCTAAGTTCTTCTAGCTGGGCTAATAATCACATTAACAGAGACATAGTAACAAGAGAAAATATCCAAAATGTATCGTGGATGCATATGTGGGGTGCCATAAGAATATGAGCCCCAAGAATGCACTGAACTGCTGAGGTTTATATGCCATTCTGGACAAAAGAGACTGGGGAGGGGGCCTGGGGTTTTAAAGAGAAAGCAGGTAATTTACAGGTAGATGAGAAGGACCATGTTTTTGCTGGGCCACCAGAAACAGTTGGACACAGAGGAAAGTTCAGCAAACAGGCTTTGCTAGATTTCTCCCTGTCTGCCTCATTTAGTTTATATTAAGATGCTAAGGCAATGTTCCATTCCTTTAAGCAGAGTTTTCTATCTGCATTTCTTCAGGCAGGTAAAGGAAAAGGGTCCAGGGTTCTTTCTGAGTCTTTTGTTTCTTAATAACAGCTTAAAATCAATATCCCAAAAGTCATATTTAGGAGTGGCAAAACTTAGATACCCCTCAAAGATAATGCCACTTCTGTTTTAAAATGGAATGTTTTTGGATAAATATTCAGTCAAACGCAGGACCCTTCCCTTCCCCTTTTTCCTGCCTTCTCCTCGGGAAGTGGTCTGGTTACCCACAGTCTTGCTGTGCTTCTCTGGTTCTCTTGGGCCTCCAATAATTATGTTAGATGTCTGTCCCCTCTCCCCAGGGACCTCTCAGGGAACATCGTCTTAGCTGTTTTGCTTTCTCCAGTGGTCACTGCAGAAGCTGACATATAGGAAATAGTTTAAAATGTGACCGATGAATTTATGAGTGTACTTTAAATGTACCACATAATTAAATCAAATGGTAGCATAATGACTGAAAATCCTGAAAAATTAAAAGTCTGTTTCTCTAAAGCCCCCAGCACTAGGTTTATAGCTTTCTCATGGCACTAATACTACTCAGCTCTCAATTTGAGTAGTTGTGTGCTTGCCTCGCCCCTCATTAGAGTGTCCGCCCCCGAGGAGTGTTCCTGATCTGTGTGACCCTCGCAGGTCTTACAGAAAGCTTGGACTTAGAAGACCCTGAATCAGTGAAAATGAAAGACTAAATGAATATGGCCTGGCACTTTATAATTTATCACTCATGAATGATTCTCACCAGGAAGAAACAGAATAGATTTTATCAGAGAGATTTAAAACAGTATCAGTAGGCGAGTTCATAGTTTGTCTTCAACTGAACACTTTTTTTTGTAAGAAAAAAATTATTTTTGTTTTTCAGAAATCCTCCACCTACTTTACTTCATCCGGAAAAATGGTGTGAGGAATTCAACCACTTTATTTCACAGTGAGTATTTCTTCCACTGAAAATTGCTTATCCAGCAAAGCCTTGGACAGTGATTGGAGGAATCTAAGCTTTGAAATTTACTTGGTGCTAAAAGTTGTTATATCTTCCAGCGCATTATGACACAGAATTTGTTCCAGTAAATGACAGAAGATGCTTTGTTTAGGATTTGAAAAATAAGGAGTTCCATCTGACTCTTAGCTATAATCTTCCTTCTTATCATATGGGTTACATTTCTCTGAGAATCTACTCTGTCCTGAGCCAAATATTGCCAAATCTGATGCCCACCCTGGGACCAGAGAGGAGATAGAAGGTGGCAGCCTTCAACAGAGGTTTCTCAATGTGGAGGGTGGACTTGGCTCTAAGATCTATGTTGTGGGAGCAGGGCTCTAGTTTCCAAGGTGATTGAGGGGACAAAATAGGATCTCAAGCCTGAGGCACCAAGGCAAAGAGCCCCAGTCATGGCTCCAGGTGTGCAGAACAAGATGAAAGCCCAACTGATGGGTGATGTACCTAGTGGGAGCTGTGTTACTAGGAAGTAGGCAAGACTGAATGGAATTAAGACAGGAGCAGAACCAACACCACCACCAATGGGGTGATGACTCTGTGTTGGGAACATGAGCTTTTGGCTAAGCTCCTGGCAGAGGACTGCACTGGCCTCAAGCCTGAGGAAGATGCTTAGCATGCTGGAGGGGACTATGTGACCCTAAACTAGGGGCCTGGTGAACTGCAGGGGCAGGAATTTAGACCAGGCATTACAAGCCATATCCAGGCACAGAAACTGAGAAGAGGCACCCTCAGTATCTAATATATCAAACAAGGTGTTCAGAGGTCACGAGAGGAGAAAAGAAGTGACAAAAATAGCTAGAAAACAGTTAGTAGGGAAGGGTCAACACCACAGAGGCAGGGCAATGATGCAACTGGGTCTCTGGATCGTCTTCCTTAATCAGTCATAATACAGATCAACAGTTCCTTATCCACAATTCCAAACTCCAAAGAGCTCTGAAAAATGAAAATGTTTTGTACTTGAGTCATTTAACTGCAAGCCCTGACCTTATGTGAACTGATTTGGTGCCAACATGTGACCTAAACTGAAGTGGGGTTATTTATAGTCGTTATTTATCTCACTCAGTGTGAATATTCATGTGAATTGCTGCAGATATATTAATGTGCTTGATTACAGTGTGCTGCCCTAGATCCTGCTGGGGATGTTACATAACATACAGTAAATGCACTGGTTTACTTTTCTAAAATTTGATAAAATTCTGAGTTCTGAAACATCTATGGCCCCAGGGGTTTTGTATAAAGAACGTTTCACTTTCATTTCAAATGTAATATAATTCAGGGTCCCTTGTACAACCCCTCCTGGATTTGTGCCTTCTTCTTTAGTAGAGAGGAGCAATAAGGAACTCCAAGAACTCTACCAAGCAAGGCCAGGTTGAAATGTGACCATAAAGTTCAAGACCAGGGGTGGAGGACATTTCCTTCCCCCTCTGTCCCCACTCTGATGTTCCTGTGATGACTGTAGAATGCTGTAGTCACAAGTCAAGGGTGGTGATGTTAGGCAATGTTGAGAGGAACAACAGATAAAACAAGAGGGATGATGCTCACATAGGAGCAGAGGAAGAGCCACCTCCTGAAATTTGGGAGCCAAAGGATGTGGTGGAGAGAACTGAAGAGCTAATGGCATCTTGGTGGCTGGGAACACATTTCAGATCAGCCCAGGGAGAGAAATCTCATCACTAAGGTCCCAATGATTTTGCTGCCAAAACCTGGATCCAAAGAATTTTCCTTTTCACACCGTTGACCTTCTCTAAACAGTTGGCCTAGAAAAACCCATTACATATTCACAAATACGCCTTCCTATACCAAGTTCTCGTGATGCCTCTAAAATGTGACTTGACTTCTGTATACTTTTTCAAGAGTATGTTTGTGTTAAGCCAAGCATGGTATTGCTCGGGTGGATTTGGAAATAAAGGTACGCAATTGATGGGGTTGGGACTTTTCAGGGTTAAACACAGTATAGAAGTCACTCCCAACCATTGATTTTCCTTTATGGAAAATCCTATTATATGCCCATTTGAATCTACTTATGTATTCCCTAACTCTGAGACTTCCAGATGAACTCATTCTGATCAAGAAAGATCTTGATCCTAGAATGGAAGATGAAACACAATAATTGTTAAAACTGCAGGGGAGGGAGAGTCTGAAAAATTCTAATGAACCAAGGAAAGTAAATAAAAATGATTGTGCTCTTTATTACTAATTTAAGATACAGAAAAATGTCATTGATCTTCTCTTTATTTAATGAGTTCTTTTTACTGGTTTTATTAATGAAAATATTATATATTATAGGTGTTCATAAATTCTTTCCTGCCCTCAACCACCTAATCCTACTTTTCCCATTACATCTTAGATTCCTCAACCATGAATTTTCCTTTTACCAGATTTTTGGGGCTATAACTCTTGAGATTAGGGACTTGTTATTGTGTTTTATATTTTTAGATAGAAACCTGCCCACTATTCCCAAATAATATCCTTATTTTTTATTTTTTATAGATGAGCGTACCTATCCTAGGCTGCCATTACTCAGTCTACTGAATTCTGTTTAACTTTACTATTTCACTATATTTATTCAAATCTCTAATTAAATGTAAACAGAGATACTCACTGGGTTAGAAATGTCTATTTAAAAAGATAGCCTTGGTTTGCTTTTTTACTTACCTTGCTCATATTGGGAGGGACAGGAAAGAAGGATGGGGAATTAAGATTTCAGATTATAAGCTTTTCATTATTGGTGGGACTGGGGCAGGCAAGATAATTACGTGGTAATTTCTGGAAAAGTGTTATCTGAATTATCCAGATAATTGCTCCAGTTCCCCTTGTAGACTGAATTGTGGTGCATTGTGTTGAAGTAGACTGGTTCCCTAAAGAGTAAACAGGACTAGAAATTCTTAAACAACTTTAAAACTTTCAATATCCTGTCCCCATATGACTGCTAACTGATATGTTTGCATGGGGTGGGAGGGAATGGGGGACATGAGTGTGGAGATGTGGCTTAATGTTTTTCAGATTTGTTCCCAGCCTTCTTAATTTGAAGACAGGAAAGATTTTAAGGTCTGAAATCCTATTAGTAAACCTGTTCGGGGGGGGGTTGAGAAAAAAAGTAAAGAAACATTAGCCTTTTTGGTTCTGAACCTTTGGTCTTAGTGATAATTGACTCATTTATATGTGTTAGTTATGCGTTTGTCAGAGCATGACTCCTGACAGCTTAGTTATGATAAATTAAACAGGATGCTCACATAAATTTTGCACTCCTTTTTATCCATATGCTAAAACCCTGCCCAATGTTTTTTGTCACTTCTATCACGTGGGGTTGGCTTTGTAGCGATTTCATTATCAGCCCTTTCCCCTGTGGCTAAAGCTATTTGCATAACAACTTTATCTGGTTCATGTCCCAGCCAGATTTCTGTTTTGTCTGGAGGGTCCTCCTTTTAATAGATGCCACTTCTTATATTAAGTTCAAATTAATTTCTAGTCTTTGGACTAACCTACAGAAGTACTTCCCAACCATTGGTCAAAAGGTATCTGTGAGCTATGCTTTTTCATTTTGCCTCTAAAACTTTTAGGGTTTTATTAGGAATTGGATTTAGGACTTTATCGTTAATGGCTCTTGAGCTGATGATTAGTGAGACAATAAAGAAGGATTCCTCTTAGTCCAGGTCCAAGCCATCAAGAGCACTATAGCTGCTCAGCTTTGGGCTTGGTGATGACTTGAACTATATGGTTGCTCATACATACTGTGCTTTCCTGGGTTGGCTGACTTGACCGACTAAGTATGCAGGTGTATCTATTTCCCTGAGTGAGCATTGTGGACAAGCCTTGTCCTTAATTCATGAAATATTGAGGTGGCCTTGTCTATCCCTCCAAATGACTTTTATGTAGCTACAAGCAGTTGCACTGAATGTTAACAAGGTGAGATCAGCCTGAGTTGCAAAACTACTAAAAGTAATAAGTATTTGCATAAATTTATTCCTTAAAAATTGAAACTCAGACCTGGAACATTCTCTTTTTTCTAGGCCTTAATGTTTATAAAAGTAACCATTTTGTGGGGGTTGTTTCCAGTTGTTTCCTTGACATTGATTGTATTCCCTTCAAGGCAACAATTGTCAGCAATTTGCCATTCTCCATTTTATGTTTCAAAGCACCTTAATTCGATATGGATTTATGATGTCAATGAACAGCACACTTGGAATGATAAGTATTCTAACTTATGATTAAGTTTCACAAATATTTTTGGCTTTTTAAGTCCTGTCAGATTCTCAGGTGGACCCACAAGGGTTAATACTTCCTGGAGTAGAAGGATACAATAACCTTAATTTACAGTACTTTACAAATTGGTCAGTTTAATTTAAATGAGCAGCGGTATCTCCTGTGACAGACTCTCTCCATTTTAGATTTATTTAGCCAATGATTACCTATTATGGCTTCTTGAATTAATTAGCATCTCTTAAGCTACAGGGAATTAGTGAATTAATAAAAATTCATGAGAAGCCAAAAAATAAAAATTCTAATGAAAAGTCCTCCAAATTCTCCTCTCCTCACATGTATAGATCAATATACCTATAGAGGCACCCCAACATTTTTCTTATTTTGAAAAATTGGGATTTTTTTTCACCTTCATGAGAACAAATACAGCTGTGTGTTTCAAGGTTCTGTCTCCCTGAAGAGCATCTGATTTAGATGACCTAATAGATCATCTAAAGACACCAAAGGCCCAATTTGATTTGACTTATACCCCACTTATCAACTCAGCCAATAAAATCTGATTTTATCATGGTGTAAAACAAGAAGAGGCTCAGTGTGACTTGAAGTTGAAACCCGGTGCAATGTCCATATAACCCTGAAATATACTGTCATCCTAGGAACCTTGGCAATGAGGGTTTTAGGTTCATACAACATAAGCAAAAGGCATAGTAAGGTGGGTAATCCAGACGCTAGTC